TACAGAAAAGGAAACACCGGGAGCCACAAAACCCTTCCCGTGCCTGACTATTTCTTGAGTGGCCACAAAATTAGCATATGTAGTTGAATTAAATGTTCTGTTTTGTTCTCTTGGATTTATCCATGGTTGGCCTACTGGGGTTGAAAAGCTCAATAAATCGCGTGCCGGCAGGTGTCTCACATTGGTGGTTGTAATGCATATTTTGAGTGACAGGGAGCTGCAACAGAGGGGTGAAAGAGCCACATGTGGCTCCAGAGCCACAGTTTGCTGACCTCTAGGACAACGCACCTGGATCCTTGTTCTGGATTGATGAGAAACCTTGAGTCATGAGTGATTCTCAAGTAGTTTTCAAACAAGCTTTGGATATTTATACATGTAGATTGGCTGCCCAGAGTCAGTCAGCCTAAACTGAATAAATAAGTGAATAAATAAAAATAAATTATTGAGTTCAGTGGTTTACAGTAGGAATTAGTAATTCCACAATTTTTCATCCATGAATGATAGTCTTTGCTTTACATTGCGCTAACAATAATAGTCACCTGGCGTACAGCTTGACTCAAGGAAGTTGACAATTTTTAGACATTGTAAGGGAATCCCTATTATTGGCTCTGCCACCCCCATTTCTAAACCTAAGGTGATTTTTTTTTTTAGTACATTCGATATGGGTGCGGTGGTCTTTGGGATTAAAATTTGATTGGAAAATTTTAAACTGAGATTTAAACCTTTCCTGTGGACACATCGGTTGATTCGCCTTTTCCCCTTGGCTGAGTCTCCTTTGAGGAAAGCTTAATTTGGGATGATTTTATGGGTATTCCAATGCAATTTTCTCCTCGAAAGAACAGAAGTGATTTGGCTTTCTTTTTCTTTTGCCTTGTGATTTCTTCAGAACAGAACAGAGTTGGAAGGACCTTGGAGGTCTTCTAGTCCAACCCCCTGCTCAAGCAGGAGACTGTGATGGCGAACCTATGGCACGCGCGCCACAGGTGGCACACATAGCCATATAAGTAGGCATGCTAGCTAGACTGCTAGAGAGGCTCTGGAGGCTGGGAACAGGAAAAAAATGTCATTTCCTGTCCAATCGGAAGTTAGGAAATGGGCCGTTTCAGGCCTCTGGAGGGCCTCTGAGGGGATGGGGAAGGCTGTTTTCGCCCTCCCCAGATGCATAGAGATGATCTGGAGCCAGGTGAGAAAGAAAAACGGGCCTACCGGGCCATCGCGTGCCAGGAGCGGCGGGGGAGAGGGGGTCACGTGTGTATGCATGGGGCGGGGTGCATAGAATTATGGGTGTCAGCACGCACGCACGTGAATTTCCCCCACCCCCCCTCCTGGCACACGAGGGCAAAACGGTTAGCCATCACTGCCCTATATCATTTTAGACAAATGGCTATCCAGCCTCTTCTTAAAAACCCTTAGTGATGGAGCACCGACAACTTCTGAAGGCAAGCTGTTCCACTGGTTAGATTGTTTTTACTGCCAGGCAATTTCTCCTTAGTTCTAGGTGCGATCTCTCCTTACTTAGCTTCCATCCATTGCTTCTTTAATTGCCTTCTCGTCCTTTGGAAAATAGGCTGACTCTGTCCTCTTTGTGGCAGCCCCTTAAATATTGGGAGGACTGCTATCATGTCACCCCTAGTCCTTCTTTTCACTAGACTAGACATACTCAATTCCTGCAACTGTTCTTCATATGTTTTAGCCTCCAGCCCATAATCATCCTTGTTGCTCTTCTCTGCATTCTTTCCAGAGTCTCAACATCCTTTATATATTGTGGGGACCAAAATTGGATGCAGTATTCCAAGTGTGGCCTTACCTAGCTAGAGCCAGACTTCTACCAAACGATAATAACACTTCTTTCATTGCTTTCCCTTTCCCTACTAAAAGGCAGGTGTTTTTATCAACACAGGTTTTGAAAATAGTTCCCATTCGCCCAGGAATAGGCCAAGAGAATGCAGCCGATGCCTTTTTTTCTTGAAGAACAGTTTTATGTTTTGTTTCTCATCAAACTTCGAAGCAGATTTCACTAATAGCTAGTAATAGTTCTATGGTATCTTCCATCAACTATGAACCATGTAGAACCAGCGGCTATAGAATTCCAGAGAACTGTTTAGGAATCAATCAGAAAAGACATTTGATGCCAGTGGCATCAAGTTAGACTCAGGAGCAATTCTTTTTTTCAGTAGGAAGATCCAGCTGCTTGAAGTGATACTCATACCCTGTTTCCTCGAAAATAAGACCCAACAGGAAAATAAGTCCTAGCATGATTTTTCAGGATGCTCGTAATATAAGCCCTACCCCCAAAATAAGCCCCAGTTAAGATTGTCAGCCAGATGGATGCATTTAGTACAGCATTCCCCCCAAAATGGAAGCTCTCAGGAGCCTGAGTGGCGTAGGAGGCTAATGCTTTCTACTAAGGCAGCATTTAACATCCAGCTGCCTGCAATTACTGCGAGTTCAATTCTCACCAGGCTCAAGGTCGACTCAGCCTTCCATCCTTTCTAAGGTGGGTAAAATGAGGACCCGGTTTGTGGGGGCAATAAGCTGACTTTGTATAAAATATACAAAAGTATGAAGGCTATTGCTTAATGCATTGTAAGCCGCCCTGAGTCTCCGGAGAAGGGCGGCATATAAAAATAAATAAATAAATAAATAAAAATAAGACCTAACCAGAAAATAAGCCCTAATGTGTCTTTTGGAACAAAAATTAATATAAGACCTGGTCTTATTTTCAGGGAAACACGATACTTTTTGGTTCAGGACTTGAAGAACCTAACTTTCACGTACAAGTAAATTAATTTTCTGGCTCTCATGAATTCAAGGATAGATTTGAAACTGATAGCCCCTGTCCCCTGCCTCAAGGTCAAGACTTTATTGTTATTTTAATATTGAGATGTTTTAAAACCATTAGCAATTTTCTAATTAATAGCAATAGCAATGGCACTTATATACCGCTTCACAGTGCTTTACAGCCCTCTCTAAGCGGTTTACATTGTCAGCATATTTCCCCCAACAATCTGGATCCTCATTTTACCGACCTCGGAAGGATGGAAGGCTGAGTCAACCTTGAGCTGGTGAGAATCAAACTGCTAATTGCTGGCAGCCAGCAGTCAGCAGAAATAGCCTGCAGTACTGCACTCTAACCACTGTGCCACCACGGCTCTTTAAATAAACAAAAGTTACCATTCTAAGCAGCGGTGAAATCCAAATTTTTTACTACCAGTTCTGTGGGCGTGGCTTGGTGAGCGTAGTATGGCTTGGTGGGCGTGGCAGGGGAAGGATACTGCAAAATCTCCATTCCCACCCCACTCCAGGGGAAGGTTATTGCAAAATCTCCATTCCCTCCCCATTCCTGGGGGAAAGATACTGCAAAATCCCCATTCCCTCCCCACTCCAGGGGAAGGATACGGCAAAATCCCCATTCCCTCCCCACTCCTGGGGGAAGGATACTGCAAAATCCCCATTCTCTCCCCACTCTGGGGCCAGCCACAGGTAGTATTTGCTGGTTCTCCGAACTACTCAAAATTTCCGCTATCGGTTCTCCAGAACCTGTCAGAACCTGCTGGATTTCACCCCTGGTTCTAAGCATACTGAGCTGTAGACATCCATTTCAACCTTGGGAAAATTTTTAATGTTGAGATATGTGATCACGCAATATAGTTGCCACGTGGGGAAGAGTCTAGACATTCGCATGATGGCACCATTATCTTTTCACCTCTTTGTCTGACTTGGTCAATAACGTTTGTCAAATGACTGGATTGATTTGGGGCAGATTAGGTAGAAAAGTTTTGAGTGTGTTCACTAGTGGGGCATCGTGGTTTAGTTACATCTCGGCCAATCTGCTTCACATTCACATTCATTTTAAATTTACCATTAACAGTTAAAAGTAACTTTTGACTAGTTAAGCAGCTAGGTAAGTAATCAGTCACTATCCTAATAGGAAATTAAACAGGACGTTTAGGATAGGGAGCCCCGTGTGCTGAGATGTTCGGTGGCTTTATAAGAATATATAGATCAATAGTTCGTCCAACAAGTAAGATAATGAGATAGCTAATTAATACTTGTATAGCAATGTGTGTTAATATGTATTTTTTTATTTTTTATTTTATTTCGAATTTATATACCGCACTTTCTCCCGAGGGACTCAGGGCGGTGTACAGCCAGATAAAAACATACAATACAAACATTAAAAACGATTAAAAGGATATATATTAATTTGGCCCCAATTTAAGATAACAAACCAATTAAAAATATTTAAAAATATGTTAAAAAATATGTTAAGCCAGCCCGGCTTGCTGAAAAAAGAAAGTTTTAAGGGCACGGCGGAAGGCACCGAGGTCTTGGATTCTCCTTATTTCAGGGGGCAGCTGGATCCAGAGAGTAGGTGCCCACACAGAGAAGGCCCTCCCCGTGGGGGTCACCAGCCTACATTGTTTGGCTGATGGCACTCCGAGGAGGCCCTCTCTGTGGGAGCGCACAGGTCGGTGGGAGGTCATCGGTAGCAGCAGGTGGTCTCGAAGATAACTAGGTCCTATGCCATGGAGCGCTTTAAAGGTGGTAATCAACACCTTTAATATGCAAAGAGTAAATGGCTTCTATCTACAACTCATTTAAGCAGCTGAATCTACTTCCATAAATGCCGCGAGGCTCCCATGTCTAGAATAGACGCAGCTGCTTTAATGACATTTGAGTTCATATTCAGTTCAATTTCATGAGCCACCTGGAGTCACTTGATGAGATGGGAGGCTCTAGAAATCAAATAAGTAAATATTCCCTTGCCCTCCAAATGATCTCTTCCTATTTAGCACATCTGGAGTCACGTAGAAATTTTCCACCTGTCATTTGAAGCGAAATGAAACAATGGGCTTTCAGCTTGTTTTAAACGGACACAGGGATTTATGTAATGTTTTGAAAGAACGAGCATTTATTTTAACAGTTTGCTTATTATTGAGTGCGTTGGACTGAAGGTGTAGGTGTCATTTCCAACTGTTCTCTTTTGCTTCCTTTAGCTGTTCGAAGGCATGAAGGCATATCGAGGCGTGGATGGCAAAATACGCTTGTTCCGACCAAGACTCAACATGGAGAGGATGTTACGGTCAGCTGCGCGAGCAACTTTGCCGGTGCGTAAATACAAACATCTGGTTTTGTTCTTTGACTAAAGTAGGTTGGAATGAGAAGATGTTGGTCCTGTTCCCTTGTAATCAGGCATTTCTTTTTCTACCTTATTCTCAAGATGGTTGTTGCAGTTGCAATTTCTCTTGGTAATGTTTTGTGTGTGTGTGTGTGTGTGTGTGTGTGTTGATTTGATTGTGGAAAATGCCACTGCTGATGTTGCTATATTTTATTCCATCTCTTTCCATCGCTTTGACGCCTGCTATCCACACTTAGAAAGGACGCAGTGGCTCGGTGGCTAAGACGCTGAGCTTGTCAATCGAAAGGTCGGCAGTTCAGTGGTTCGAATCCCTAGTGCCGCATAACGGGGTGAGCTCCCGTTACTTGTCCCAGCTTCTGCCAACCTAGCAGTTCGAAAGCACGTAAAAAATGCAAGTAGAAAAATAGGGACCATCTTTGGTGGGAAGGTAACAGCGTTCCGTGCGCCTTTGGCATTGAGTCATGCTGGCCACATGACCACGGAGATGTCTTCAGACAGCACTGGCTCTTCGGCTTTGAAACGGAGATGAGCACTGCCCCCTAGAGTCAGGAACGACTAGCACATATGTGCAAGGGGAACCTTTACCTTTATCCACACTTACCTCCAAGAAGTTTAATTTTTTTTTAAAGAAAAAAGGGGGGGCACTGTTGGAGGAAGTCTTGAGTACCAATAAAGGAAAGTATTTGTAGCTCAAGGTTGAAATGAGTGGTCCTTGGTGCTCTTTGAGCTTGCTTGTTTTCTTGCAGATGTTTCATTATGTTTCATTCACCGATGATGTTACCTACTTTGGGTAATGAAACATCTGTAAGAAAACAAGCAAACTCAGAGAGTAGCAAGGAAGTCTTGAGTGGCATCTGCCTTTAAGAATTATCCTGAAATACAGGAAACTCTGAAGACAACAGACTGCTGGAAAGATGATTGTGGAAGAAAAGGGAGAACGTGTATACATCCTCCTCGGTCCCTTCATTCTTGAGTTCATGTTTCATCCGTGAGAATGTAATTGAAGTTACCTTCAAGTAGTGTCTACTACCACCCCTGTTTTCTCACCACTGCCAGAAGGAAAAATACTTCCCAACTACACCCTTCTGTGATGATCATTTTGAAACCTGTTTCACAGCTGTGATAAAGCTACTTAAACCAACTCATTTCTTGGGTGGCTACAGCCATAAGGTTCTTTAGCACTGTAGCCATGGGGGCGCAGTGGTTAGAATGCAGTATTGCAGGCTAACTCTGCTGACTGCCAGCAGTTCGATCCTGACCATCTCAAGGTTGACTCATCCTTTCATCCTTCCAAGGTCGGTAAAATGAGGACCCAGATTGTTGGGGGCAATGTGCTGACTCGGTAAACAGTTTAGAGAGGACTGTAAAGCACTGTGGAACGGTATATACCGTATTTTTCGGACTATAAGGCACACCTGACTATAAGATGCACCTAAATTTAGAAGAGGGAAAACAACCAAAAAAAAGTTTTTGGCCTCTGGGTGCCCCATTTTCAGGCCTTTTTTTGGGCCTTCTTTGGGCCTTTTCCAGGCTTTTTTTGGCCCGTTTTCAGGACTTTTTTCGGCCTGTTTTTGAAGCTTTTTTCAGCCTGTTTTTGAGGCTTTTTTCCGCCCCCTTTTGAGGCTTTTTTCAGTCCATTTTGAGCCTTTTTTCAGTCCATTTTTGAGCCTTTTTTCAGCCCATTTTGGGGCTTTTTTTCAGCCTGTTTTTGAGGCTTTTTTCAGCCCATTTTTTCAAAAAAGAAATGGGCCCAAAAAGCCTCAAAAATGGGCCCAAAAAAAGCCTCAAAATGGGCTGAAAAAAGCTCCAAAAACAGGCCCCAAAAAAGGCCCAAAAATGGGGTGTTCAGAGGCCAAAAAACAGCTAGCGGGCTTTAGCAATATTCTGTCTATAAGACGCACAGACATTTTCACCTCCTTTTGGGAGGCAAAAAAGTGTGTCTTATAGTCCGCAAAAAATAAGTCTAAGTGCTTTAGGGGTATAGCTTGTTGCACACTAATAGCAGATGGGTAGACATCCTGGAACAGCCCTACCTTTGAACAACCAACCTAAACAGAGTTTCTTATTCGGGTGTTTCAACCAAGATTGTTTCTAAGCGTTGCCTCCTTCTCTTTCTACATACAGGGTTTTGACAAAGAAGAACTTCTGCAGTGTATCCAGAAACTGGTGGAAGTTGAGAAGGAGTGGGTACCCTATTCAACCTCTGCTAGCTTGTATATCCGCCCTACTTTAATTGGGACAGAGGTGGGGAGAAAATACACTTTTTTTTTGTTCCTTCTTTCCTTCATTCCTTCTCAACAACCCCAATGGCAAACCACAACCACACAAAAACAGTGATGTCAAGTCAAGCCAATGTTTATTACAGTCAAAGACCAGAGCAAGTTAAAAACACTCAAGGAACATCCAGTTTTTTTAAAAAAATCTAGACTAAAATAATAAATAACCATTACATCTATATTAAAAATCACAATTTGGCACCCAATCTATCGGTTGCACAAAACGAACAAAACACAGCATGGCCCTAACTATAACATAACATCAATCCTTAAACTGGTGACCCCCAGGGGGAGAGCCTTCTCTGTGGGGGCACCTGCCCTCTGGAATGAATTGCCCCCGGAGATTCGTATGATCCTTGACCTACGTACCTTTCGCCGTGCCCTTAAGACTTTACTGTTTCAACAGGCTGGGCTGGCTTAATAATAACGAATTTTAATGCGTGTTTTAGTTTTAATATAGGGCCAAATTATTTAATATGTTTTAAACTGTTTTTAAATTTTATAGATATACATGTTTTATTGTGGCTGTGCACCGCCCTGAGTCCCTCGGGAGAAGGGCAGTATAAAAATTTAAATAATAAATAATAATAATAAACTGTGAGGCCCATAGTCATTAAATACTAAAGTGCAAGAAAGTGATTAATGCAAAAGGGTTTGCTGCATTAATTGGGTAAAATAGCTATGATGCAGAGGTGGGTTTCAGCAGGTTCTGACGAGTTCTGGAGAACCGGTAGCGTAAATTTTGAGTAGTTCAGAGAACCGGTAGTAAAAATTCTGATTGGCCCCGCCCCCATCTATTCTCTGCCTCCCAAGTCCCAGCTGATCAGGAGGAAATGGGGATTTTGCAGTAACCTTCTCCTGGAGTGGGTGGGAATGGAGATTTTACAGTATCCTTCCCCTGGAGTGGGGTGGGAATGGAGATCTTACAGTATCCTTCCCCTACCACGTCCACCACACCACGCCCAACAAGCCATGCCACGCCCAACAAACCACACCCACAGAACCGGTAGTAAAAAATTTTGAAACCCACCACTGCTATGATGGATTAAGTGCCTGTTTCCAACGAATCCCCAGCGCTGCAGCGCAAAATCTAGCCACCTTGTGCTGACATTGTGATGTCCACAACATCTCACTTTTATGTGCTCACGTTCCAGTGTCTGATGCAAGGATGTAAGGGCAGTATCATGCGTGTTTTATCTCTTCTCGAGCCCCATTCTGGTCTTACCTGGCATCTTCTGTGAACTTTGCCATTGTGTCATTGCTTTCTGGGAGCCAATGAATACAGGTAGTCCTCAATTTACAACCATTCTACCATATGAGCCGTGGTGGCGCAGTGGTTAGAGTGCAGTACTGCAGGCTACTTCTGCTGACTGCAATTTGGCAGTTCGAATCTCGCCAGGCTCAAGATTGACTCAGCCTTCCATCCTTCCGAGGTGGGTAAAATGGAGGACCCAGATTGTTGGGGGCAATAGGCTGACTCTGTAAACCACTTAGAGAGGAATGTAAAGCACCGTGAAGCGGTATATAAGTCCATGCTGAAAAAAGTGACTTACGAGCAATCCTTGCATCGATGTCCACTGCAGGATGCCCACATGATTAAAATTCAGGTGCTTGGCAACTGGCATGTGTTTATAACAGTTGCAGTGTAATGGGGGTCATGCCATTGCCATTTGCGAACTCTCCAGTTGGCTTCCAACAAGTATTGTCAGTGAGGAAGCCACATTCACTTTACAACAACGTGACTCATTTAACAAATGCAGTGCTTCGCTTAACATTTGTTCCAAGAAAGGTCTTAAAATTGGGTGCGACTCACTTTTAACAACTGGCTTGTTTAGCAACAGAAATTCTGCTCCCGATTGGGGTTGTAAGTCGAGGACTGCCTGCACAAAGATTATTTAAGCTTTATAACATTTTTTTCTCTTCTGCTTGGAGTAGAACTGAGATTCTTGTGGCAGTGAGTGACCCCTTCTTTAGGTTTAGGAGATCTCATTCCACGGGAATTTATCTAGTGTTTCCTTAGGGACAGGAGAGGAAAATAAAAAGAAATAAGGATTGCTTTGCTTTTCCTAGGCAATCTTTGCAAAAGTGAAAAAAAAACAACCAAGAATTTACTACTGTTATGGTTGACAATAGTTCCACCTAGTGGCAATCTTTTATCAGTTCATTACACACATTAAAATTTTACCTCCTTTTTCTCCTAAACGAGGGGTTGGCAACCTGCAGCTCTGGAGCCATATGTGGCTCTTTCACCCCTCTGGTGTGACTCCCTGTCACTCAAAATATGTATCCCAGCTGCTAATGTGTGATACCCGCCGGCACACAATTTATTGAGCTTTTTAACCCCCGGTAGGCCAACCATGGATAAATCCAAGAAAAGAAAAGTTTCAGAAGAAAACAGAACGTTTAATTCAACTCAAGCGCTCCATGGCATAGGACCTGGATACTTACGAGACCGCCTTCTGCCTCCGATAGCCTCCCATCGACCAGTACGCTCCCACAGAGAGGGTCTCCTCAGGGTGCCGTCGGTTAGACAGTGTCGACTGGCGACCCCCAGGGGGAGAGCCTTCTCTGTGGGGGCACCTGCCCTCTGGAACGAGCTGCCCCCGGAGATTCGTCAGATTCCCGACCTTCGTACCTTTCGCCCTTAAAACACTATTATTCCATCAAGCAGGGCTGGCCTAAAATATTATTTTAATGGGTTATTTTATTTTAGATTATTGGCCAAACTATTTAATAATTTTAAATTGTTTTTAACTTTTATATTGTTGGTTTTTATCTTGGCTGTACACCGCCCCGAGTCCTTCGGGAGAAGGGCGGTATAAAAATTTAATAAATAAATAAACTACATTTGCTAGTTTTGTGGCCGCTCAGGAAATAGTCAGGCACAGGAAGGGTTTTGTGGTTCCTGGTGTTTTCTTTTCTGTGGGAAATGGGTCCAAATGGCTCTTTGAGTGTTTAAGGTTGCAGACCCCTGTCCTAAACATAACAGGCTGTGTCTACTGTGAGGCAGTCAGTGGATTAGGATAAATGAGCGGTGAGGGCCAAACCTTTGTTAGATGTCCTTCCATAAAAAATAATAATTTCATTGCACCTTAAAACATAAAACTCTTTGCAACTGATCCCTGTCCCAAACCGCATTTAATGTCTGGGTTCTGACATTGCATACTGAAGGGGATAAAACGGGACTGAATCATTTATTATTCAACATTCTGTCAATAACCCAGCCCTTGATTTATCAGGTTGTGTGAACTGAGCTACTTTATCAAATCATAAGAAGACATTTTTATATGTTGCAGCCTGTTATTTGAGCATAGACATTGGCTTTAAGAGACAAGTCTGTGCGTGTCCCTTTGAGGAGAGCCTCAAAGAGAAATGTTCTACTTGTTGTACAAGTAGTCCTCAGTTCAAAATCACAATTGGGATCCTCAACTCCACCATTAAACAATGTGATTGTTAAGTAAGACATCACAGGACTGCAATGGACTTACAACCTCACTCCCACTGCAGTCGTTAAGCTAATTACCTGTAGTTGTTCCGTAAGACATCATGTGACTGCAATTAACTTATGATCTCACTTCTCCCTTTGTCATTAAACAAACCACCCATGGCTATTAAGCGAGACATCACATGATCACAACTTGCAATTTCACTGCTGGCTTCTCTATTGATTTTGTTTGTTGGAAGCCAGCTGTGAAGTGCACAAATGGCAATCACATGATTGTGGGCTGCTGCGATAGTTGTAAATATGTGTGCCGGTCATAAAATTACTTTTTCAGTTCTGTCGTAACTCTAAACAGTCGCTAAACAAGGCAATCCTTAAGCAAGGTCTACCTATAACTTCTGGTACTGCCATTTGACAGATCTGTCTCATAACTCAATGCCTGCGGTTGCAAAATCACAGATTTATAGACCCTTGAAGTTGGAAGCAGTGGTGAGTTCCTCCCGGTTCGGCCCGGTTCTCCCGAGCCGGTAGCGGTGACGATATGACATCACCGAACTGGTTCTGCCCCCCACCCCCCGTGTCCCCCCACCCCCGTGCCCCCCCACACCCTCCACCCCCCACGTTATTTTTACCTTTTATTTGGCCCCATCCCCAATCTATTGCTGCCTCCTGAGTCCCAGCTGATGGCTAGAAGGAAAAAAACTGTTTAAACTCTTGCCGTGGGGCTTCAAAGGGCCGTCCTACAGCTGATCAGTGTTAAAAGAAAACAAATCAGTACACCGGTGCCTGCAAAAATACATGAGTAGATCAGTGCCTGCAAAAAGAAATGGGTAGATCGGTACAGCTCTGCAAGCAGTTAAAAGCCTGGTAGACCAGTACCTCTGCTAAATCCTAAATAATTGTCACATGACCATCAAGCCACACCCACAAAATAAGCCACGCCCACAGAACCGGTAGTAAAAAAATTTAGAACCCACCCCTGGTTGGAAGGATGTATTTGAGCCACTAAATCCAACTCTTTGCTTATTGAAGGAACCTGAAGCATGTCCAACACTTCTGCGTTTAGCCTCTGCTCTGATAACCTACAACAAAGGATGTTTTTTGCTTCCTTAACCCATTGGTTCGGTTGATGACAGGAAATGTTGGGACAATTTTTCTTTACATTCTATGCCATTTCAGTTTTATTGAATATTAATATAAGAACTGGATAAGAACCCATAAGTGCAATGAATTTGTCTTCCTTTCTTCTGCGTAGCCATCTCTTGGAGTCAAGAAGCCATCAAGGGCCATTCTTTACGTGATCCTGAGCCCTGTAGGGCCCTACTTCTCAAGTGGGACCTTCAACCCCATCTCCTTGTGGGCAGATCCAAAATTCGTCCGAGCTTGGAAAGGTGGGACGGGAGACTGCAAATTGGGAGGGTAAGTGAATCTTGTTGCAGCCATCCTCATTAAGACAAGGACGGGCAAGTGATAGCAACTTTACAATCTGTAAACGTCAACTCCCAGAATTTCTGCACCAGCTTAGGAGAATGCATTGAGAATGCATTTTGGGAATATATAAACTCTTTTTAAAAAAAACTAAAGGCTGGAGATATGCTCCTCAAAACTGATAGGCAAAGTAGCGTGTAGAGTCATAGGAAGAATTCGGTTTGAGATCTTGGTGCAATTCAATTGATTAAACACAACGTGATTCATTGATCTCAGCTTCAGATACTTCAACCTACTGGACCTTCTGAGGTTGCAGAATTAAGCTATGCTAAATCCGTGCAGTGTTATTATATTAACAGCCTTCTGGGATTGTTTTAGACAGAATGATAGAGTTGGAAGGGACCTTGGAGGTCTTCTAGTCCAACCCCCTGCAGGAGACCCTGCTATTTCAGTCAAATAGTTGTCTAATCTCTTCTTAAAAATCTCCAGTGTTGTAGCACCCACAACCTCTGGAGACAAGTTGTTCCACTGATTAATTGTTCTCACTGTCAGGATATTTCTCCTTATTCTAGGTTTTCTGGCTTTGCAGTCTGATCTATAGCATGGTCTTGTCTGATGGCCTCCCAGCCAACTGCTAACCAGGCCTGGCTCTATTTAGATTCTGAGGTCACATAAGGTCATACGTATCTTGACTACCTTTTTGCACATAAAAGTATCAGTGGTGGAAGGCCCAGTAAGATCTCCATGCCCATAAATATGAGCAGTTCCATAAAGTTCAGTGTGCTACTCTGTACTGTATGTTGTGCCCATAACCGAAATGATTTTGAAGCCTAAATTCTGAATAAAATCCATCCGCCAATTTGCTCACAACTTTGAGAACAAAATAGAATAGAATAGAATAGAATAGAATAGAATAGAATAGAATAGAATAGAATAGAATAGAATAGAATAGAGTTGGAAGGTACCTTGGAGGTCTTCTAGTCCAACCCCCTGCTTAGGCAGGAAACCCTACACCAGGGGTGAAATCCAGCAGGTTCTGACAGGTTCTGGAGAACCAGTAGCGGAAATTTTGAGCAGTTCAGAGAACTGGCAAATACCACCTTTGGCTGGCCCCAGACTGGGATGGGAATGGAGATTTTGCAATATCCTTCCCCCAGGAGTGGGGAGGGAATGGGGATTTTGCAGTATCCTTCTCCTGGAGTGGGGTTGGAATGGAGATTTTGCAGTATCCTTCCCCTGCCATGCCCACCACGCCACACCCACCACGCCACACCACGCCCACCAAGCCACGCCTACAGAACCGGTAGTAAAAAAATTTGGATTTCACCACTGCCCTACACCACTTCAGACAAATGGTTATTCAACATCCAAATATGCTTTGACCAGTCTCTTGCATATCTTTGTCATAAGGACCTCTATGAAAGCAATGGTATAATATCAGGGGTGGGTTCTAAATTTTTTTACTACCGGTTCTGTGGGCGTGGCTTATTTTGTGGGTGTGGCTTGGAGGTCATGTGACTAGGTGGGCGTGGCTATCTGGTCAGAGTCATTTCTGGAAGGTCCTCGCATTTACGACCAGTCCTCGCACTTACGACCCGACTCATTTGTTTGCTTTTAACACTGATCAGCTGTAGGACGGCCCTTTGAAGCCCCGCGGCAAGAGTTTAAACGGTTTTTTTCCCTCTAGTCATCAGCTGGGACTCAGGAGGCAGCAATAGATTGGGGGTGGGACCAAATAAAAGGTAAGAATAACATGGGGGGGGGAGAACCGATTCGGTGACGTCATATCGTCACCGCTACCGGCTCTGCCGAACCGGACCGAACCGGGAGGAACCCACCACTGTATAATATCTTGGCTTCTTAGTCCTCTGAAATCCCTGTCTCAAATGTGCTTTTTCAAAAGACAACTGGACTGTTTTTTTTTTTTCCTTGAGGAAGATATTTTGCTTCTCATCCAAGAAGCATCGTCGGTTCTGGCAGGATAATGGGGACAATGGAAAGGTTAATTCTGACAGGATGGCGTGGAGGGGGCGGGGTTAAAAGGATCGTATTTCTTTGCAGTCGTCCTAGAATAGACAGGACCATTGGTTTGAAAGAGGGGTAAAAGAGACCATTTATGTTAAAACTGAGCGGCCCTCTCTCATTGGGGGTGGGTGAGAGGGATAAGACACTACCTGTCTCCTGTCTACAACTCAGTCCTTTCAGCAGTTCCAAGAAGGCCCCACCCCCATTTGCACTCTGGTACAGATGACCCTGAGGGTACTGACAAATCCCCAAGTGACCTCAAGAGCTCTCAGAGAGAGTACTAATGACCAGATGACTGCAAAGCAGAGGTGAAATGCTCCCGGTTCGGACCGGATCGGGCGATCCTGGTAGCGATTGTCACGGGTGGTTCAGCGATCCGGTAGCGATGGCAGAGGGAAGCTCCACCCACCCACCCGGATGTCATTACTTCCTGGTTTTAACCAGGAAGTGATGTGTTTTTTACCTTCTGCTCATGCACAGAAGGTTTTGCACATGCGCAGAAGGTCTGCACGTGGGGAGCAGGTAAGGAAGGTAAGTAGATTTCACCCCTGCTGCAAAGAAATATGATCCTTTCAATCCCTCCCCATCCTATCAGAACTAATCCTTCCATTGCCCCCCACCATCTTGCCAGAACCAATGAAGCTTCTTGGATGAGAAGCGAAACATTTTCTTCTTCTTCCTCAAGGAAAAAAACAGCCCAGTTGCCTTTTGGACAAGCACATTTGAGACAAGTATGACCTGGATGACTGAGAATCTTCACAGACATCATGGCATCCATGCAGTGTCTCTCTGAGTATAATCAGATTCACATTGGGAGGACAATGGCCGGGAAGGCCCTTTATCGAGTTCGCCTGATTCGCCAGTTGCAGCCCTTTCTGGACTGGGATGCCTTGCGCACGGTCACTCACGCCCTTGTCATCTCCTGGCTGGACTATTGTAATGCTCTCTACATGGGGCTCCCCTTGAAGAGCACTCGGGGGCTCCAACTGGTCCAGAATGCGGCCGCGCGGGTGGTTATGGGCGCAACTCATTGTGCCCATGTGACACCCCTCCTGCGCGAGCTGCACTGGCTCCCAGTGATCTTCCGGGTGCGATTCAAGGTGTTGGTCATCACCTTTAAAGTGCTCCATGGCATAGGACCCGACTTCGAGACCGACTTCTGCCACCAATAGCCTCCCACCGGCCAGTTCACTCTCACAGAGAGGGTCTCCTCAGGGTGCCATCGGCCAAGTTATGTCGGCTGGCAACACCCAGGGGGAGGGCCTTCTCTGTGGGAGCCCCAGCCCTGTGGAATGAACTGCCCCCGGAAATACCTAAGATCTCTGACCTCCGGGTATTTCGCTGTGTGAAGACCCTGTTGTTCCGCCAGGCCGGGCTATCAACATAATAATTTTAAATTGGGGTATTTTAAATTTCTGGGGTTTTGAATTGAGCTGAATTTATTTAATAATTTTAAATTTTAAATTGATGTTTGTCTTGTGTTTTTAAATAGGCTGTACACCGTCCTGAGTCCTTCGGGAGAAGGGTGGTATAGAAATAAAATTATACTTATGCTTACTTATACTTATACAAGCTAGGTTCAGATACTCCCGTAACTCGAAACCCAGCTACTATTCCAGTTACAGCCTGCCTGTATCTAGGAGTACTGGGTTAGGAAATATTTGTTAAATATTAGAAGGCAATTCACTTGTAGGTATATTCTCAAACATATAAATGGCCTTTTTTGCTCTGTGCCCCAAAGGAATTATGGCTCTTCGATTTATGCCCAACGTGAAGCCATGGAATTGGGGTGCCAGCAGGTCCTCTGGCTTTATGGTGATGACCATCAAATCACAGAAGTCGGGACGATGAATCTTTTCCTATATTGGCGAAATGAAGATGGAGGTATGGGGTCAGACTTGATTGAACTGCCACCTGAAACTTCCTGCCCTTAATCTTAGCTGCTATATTGGAAATAAATGGCTTTTTCTTGAGCTTTCCATCCTACATATGGTTCCACCTTGCAAAGATGTGAGAGGTGGGGAGCCTGGAACCTGTTGTGACCCAGGCCCAAGTAAGTAGTAGGAAAATCAGTCAGTGAAAAAACAAACAAACTTTATTCGAACAGTTGAGAATTACTTCATTCCCAGCGTCGTTCAACTAAATTAAAGCAAATTCCTCCCAACACAAATTCCTCAGTCCTATCGCAAACCTTGGTCCAATTAGGCAAACTGCCAAAGGCCTTTCTTGGCAAACGTTCAGAAGTCACAGATACAAAAATAAATACAAGATGAAGACGAAGAAGAAGACGAAGCTACTAACATTGTTTTCCGGCAAAGCCCAAATCCTGTTGCTGGTCTGTTTTAAGCCTTATGGGAGGGGCCAATCATCTCTTGGCCCTACTCCCAAGTTGTCCTCTTTGCTTGAGCTGCTCTTGCCTTCTGGCAGCTCTTCTCATGTGTGCATTAGGAACAGGCTCCTCCTGTTCCTCTGCCTCACTCCTTTCAGTCTCTGGAGGCTCTGGAGTCCGCACCTCACTCCCTGATGGCCCTGGCCCCATCTCTGCCTCTGACGCAGAGCCCTCATCCGGGCCTTCCCCAGCCTCCAGGACTGGCCCATGTTCTTCCTCAGCCTCATCACTGTCCGACTTCGCTGCCAGCTCCGCAGGCTGTTGGCGGACCACAACAGAACCTTAGATCTCATTTTTATACAATTATATAATGCTGTACTTTAATGCTCAAGTGTCCTGCCTTTTATTGACAGACGATGAGCTGGCAACCCCACCTCTAGATGGCATCATTCTTCCTGGTGTGACGAGGCAAAGCATCTTAGATCTGGCACGCAAGTGGGTAGGTAGCCATCTGCTCAGATAGTGCTGACATTTCTATGTGCTATCTACAATGGTATTTTTCTGATAGACTACCATACCAGAGGTGGTATTCAGCAGGTTCTGACCAGTTCTGGAAAACCGGTAGCGGAAATTATGAGTAGTTCTGAGAACCGGTAAATACCAATTCTGACTGGCCCCGCCCCCATCTATTCCCTGCCTCCTGAATCCCAGCTGATTGGGAGGAAATGGGGATTTTGCAGTAACCTTCCCCTGGAGTGGGGAGGGAATGGGGATTTTACAGTATCCTTCACCTGCCATGCCCACCAAGCCCCGCCCATAGAACCAGTAGTAAAAAAATTTGAATTCCACCACTGTACCATATTTCTTCCAAATCCTAAATCAGCTTGCAGTGGAATTTCCATTCAGCTCACAGACTAACTTGCAACCTCTTGCTTTGGTTATCAGCAGAATATAGATGAATATATTAATAATTGACTCAGTGATTGGCAAAGAGAGGAATCCCAAAGGTGCTTTTTTCAAAAGGCAACTGGACTCTCTTTGTTTTTCCTTGAAGACGTTTCGCTTCTCGTCCAAGAAGCTTCTTCTGAACTGAAGCTTCTTCTGAACTGAGAACTGAAGAAGCTTCTTGGGCGACAAGCAAAACGTCTTCAAGGAAAAACAAAGAAAGTCCAGTTGCCTCTTGAAAAAAGCGCTTTTGAGACAACCATGACCTGGATGATTGAGAATCTCCATAGACACAAAGAGAGGAATAGACAGATAGTTCTGGATCAGGCAAGGCCCATCCTAGATGCAGTGGTGGGTTCCTCCCGGTTCGGTCCGGTTCCACCGAGCTGGTAGCGGTGATGTCACCGAACCGGTTCTCCCCCCGCCCCCCACCCACCCCCACGTTATTCTTACCTTTTATTTGGCCTCACCCCCAATCTATTGCTGCCTTCTGAGTCCCAGCTGATGGCTAGAGGGGAAAAAACTGTTTAAACTCTTGCTGCGGGGCTTCAAAGGGCCGCCCTACAGCTGATCAGTGTTAAAAGAAAACAAATGAGCAGACCGGTGCCTGCAAAAATAAATGGGTAGGTGGCATTGGGTCTCATAATTGGTGCTCATAATCATCATGAAAAGCCAACCAGATGCCTCAACTGTACTTGTCCGTCTTCAGACATGATTTCCTTGCAACTGATATTTGAAGGCATGTGACCCTTCACCCGGAGATAATATTAAATCTTCAAAACTAATCACTCTTGATGAACCCATGAGCCTGAATTTGTCCCATCTCCTTTTGAAACAATTCAAGTTAGAGGCCACCATCTGGTATTCTGGTAATTAATTCTGGAAGTTATTCATGTGCTGTAATATGATGAAATCATAGTCCAGTCTTAAGTACCCCTTATTCGATGATCTAATAGCAACTACATTGACATAACCATGTTTTGCCCTGCCTGTTGGATCAGGCAAAGGATAGTTACTAAAGATGATTCTATGATTCTGTGTCGTTGTGTTTTATTCAAGCTTAACGAGACACAGCTCTTTAAGCTACTGTTATAAGTACTGAAAAAGCCAGGATGGCTGGCTGGATGGATGGACGGACGGACACACAGATGCATAGAGAGATGCATAGATCAACAGTCATGAGGTTCAAATCTTATACCTGCTTTTCCTATTTGTGCGCCCTAACAGGCAGAAACCAGTTGATAATTTGTCCAAAAAGCAATACTGATTAGTCTACGTCATGGGTGTCAAACTCACCGTGTCATGTTGCTGTCATGTGACGTTTCACGACATTTCCCCCATTCACGGAGCTGAGGTGGGCATGGCCTACACATGACGCATCTGCCCCGCGGGCCGCCAGTTTGACACCCCTGATCTATGTAGTTACTAGAAGTGAAGTTCAACTTGGAATTGGCTTTACTTTTATCTCAGCTAGGTGGCAGCATTTATATATTTTTTTAAAAACTGAGCAGGGTTGAACATGGTTAATACGCTGATGGTGACCATCAAGAGGTGCTTGGGTTAAATTGGGAAGTTGAGGAAATATCTCAGAAGAAGGCAGTGAGAAATCACTGCTATATTGAAAAACTGAACTGATGTATTGAAAACTGCTATATTGAAAATTACCTGGGTGTCTCCGTGAAGCCTCTAAGAGTTGACTTAAAGAGGGTTTACAGTTTATAAATGTAAACTCTTTACATTGTAAACAATTGTTGTTGTTGTTGTTGTTAGTTGCGAAATCGTGTCCGATCCATGTCCCTATGGACAATGTTCCTCCAGGCCTTCCTGTCCTCTATCATCCTCTGGAGTCCATTTAAGCTCACACCTACTGCTTTGATGACTTCATCCAGCCATCTCATTCTCTGCCATCCCTACTTCTTTTGTCCTCAATCTTTCCCAGCATTAGGCTCTTCTCCAGTGAGTCCTTCCTTCTCATTAGGTGGCCAAAGTATTTGAGTTTTCTCTTCAGGATCTGACCTTCTAAAGAGCAGTCAGGGTTGATATCCTCTAGGACTAACCAGTTGGATCACCTTGCAGTCCAAGGGACTTGCAGGAGTCTTCTCCAGCACCATAGTTCAAAGGCCTCAATTCTTTGGCGCTCAGCCTTCCTTATGGTCCAACTTTCACAGCCATACATTGCAACTGGGAAAACCATAGCCTTGACTATACACACTTTTGTTGGCAGGGTGATGTCTCTGCTTTTTAGTAAGCTATCTAGATTTGGAGCCCAGGAAAATAAAATCTATCACTACCTCCATTTCTTCCCCATCTATTTGCCAGGAATTGAGAGGGTGGATGCCATGATCTTAGTTTTCTTAATGTCAAGTTGCAAGCTAACTTTTGCACTCTCGTCCTTCAACCACATCAAGAGGCTCTTTAGTTCCTCTTCACTTTCTGCCATTAGAGTGGTATCATCTGCATATCTGAGGTTGTTGATATTTCTCCCGGCAATCTTAATTCCAACTTTTGATTCATCTAGCCCTGCCTTTCTCATGATGTGCTCTGCATATAAGTTAAATAGGAGTCTTAGCTCTTGACAAACATAATTTCTAGAACTGCTTTCTTATCTTTTTTCAGGGTGAATTTAAAGTATCTGAGCGATACATTACTATGAGTGACCTCACAACTGCCTTGAAGGACAAGAGGGTGAAGGAGATGTTTGGGGCTGGAACAGCTTGCGTTGTATGTCCTGTTTCAACAATACTCTACCTGGGAGAGGTAAGAGCCAATTTTCTGGAGATTCAGATTTGTTACTACCAGCTAATTCCAATTTCTTGATAAACTCCATAACAAATCCTCATTGAACTCTGTAAGTTCTTTAGTAAGACATTGTTTGAAATTTGGATAGTGGACTGCAAGGCTATATTTATCTGGCCAGTAAATGTCCTTAGCATTCAGATAATAAATGTTAAGGACACCCTTAAGACATTTTTAAAGAATAAACAGCTGATGTTTTTGAACAATTAGAACTACCAGAAAAGCAGCAAAAATATTGAGGAGAGGAGAGGATCCCTAGAACAACCTGTAGAGAGAAAAATTACACCAGATTTGCTTCAGAAAGTGTTTGGGCAACTAACCATTAATTAGATACTAAATTGATAGCTTGTGAAAAAAGAAGGGTTTAAAAAATTGTAAAGATGAAAGAGAAGCTGGAAGAAGAAATTAAGATGAAAAGCTGTTTATCAAGTGTCTGCAGATGTGAAACAAATTAATAACAGTGGAAATTTTGGAGAGTAATACAGAAGTTATAGACAATGTTGGAAAGAGAACTAGATAATCTGGCTCTATTGGAATTGAGAGAAAAAAAATTTGCTTGAGATTTAACATAATCTCAGAGGACTTTGCTAAAGATATTAGAGAAAATGTTATTAACACATTTTTTTGGATTGGGATGAGGCGATGCAGAAGCAGAAATTGATAAAGTTTATGGAATAAACACAATATTTGTAAGAATAAGAAATATTTCAAAGGATGGTTTGGTACAGCTTGTCAGGAAGAAGATGGAATCAAGTTTTATAGCAACACTTTAATACAAGGCTGAAAAGTATACAGATGTAATTCTTCTGAAAGAATCTCCTTTTAGAATCCTGAATTAGAGAAAAGAGTATTCTTTTTTTGACAGACAGATTAAAGTAGAAAAGCATCCCATTTTGAGGGAACAAATTGGAAGGAATGACTTGAGTAGAGAGGTTGTAAAATTTCTGTCAAAGTTACAATATGCAGAATGCAGGGCAAAGTCTCAGTAGCTCCTCAGTCAAATAGACCAATTGTTTCAATTGTAGTAATGAACATAGCAATAGCACTTAGACTTATATACTGTTCCATAGTGCTTTACCGCACACTCTGTGTGGTTTACAATGTCAGCATATTGCCCCCCCCCAACAATCTGAGACTCATTTTACCGACTTCAGAAGGATAGAAGGCTGAATCAACCTTGAGCCCCATCAGGATTAAACCCCAGGCTGTGGGCAGAGTTTGCCTGCAATACTTCATTCTAACCAATGCGCCACCAGGACTCCCTGCTTGATATTTACTGTATTTTTCGGACTATAAGACGCACCGGTGTATAAGATGCATCAAGATTTCGAAGTGGTAAGTAAGAAAAAGAAGATTTTTGCCTTCCCCGGCCCTCAGGAGCACTCTGCAGGCCTCCGAAACGCTCTGCGCACCCTGTTTTTGCGAAAAACAGGCCCATTTTTTGCAGAAATGGGACGAGCGGGGTGGGGCTTCGGGAGGCCAAAAATGGCTGTATTCAGTGTACAAGACGCACCAACATTTCCACCCTCTTTAAGGAGGGGAAAAAAGTGCATCTTATACTCTGAAAAATACGGTAGCTGATTATATGCCATCAAATTATTGCTGACTCTTAGATTTCTTTTACCAAGACAATCTCTCTCTACTGGTTCTTCAATTATTCCAACAGCTGTAACTTAAGTCCATCCATTTTACTGCTGATATGAACATCTTGCTGAAATTATAGGCCTTCTCGGGAGGAAAGATTTCATAATGTCATAGCTGTTATAATTTCTCTTCTTATCCTCCTTTGCAGGTGCCATAATGTAATTTGTATCAGCCAAATAAAATGTCTTTGGCAATTTATGTTCTTGGAAATGAATTTTATGTTTGTGTGATAGTTGAATAACGATCTCTTGTCAGCTTCGCTTCGTTTCTACAGAATTTGTTTTGCACTGAATTAAGATTGAACAGAAGAAAAAAAAAGATTTTCATTTATTGGTTTATTTTTTCTGTTACTAAGCCTTTTGTAATTCCATCCGAAATCAATTTCCTGAACACCTTTATATTTTAACTTAGTTTTTGTTTTCTTTTAGAATTTGCAAATCCCAACCATGGAAAATGGACCTCAAATAGCAACCCGTTTCTGGAACCAGCTAAGTGATATTCAAGTAAGGATCTCACATGTTTTCTATGAGAAATAGACAAGTGGTTGAGTAGCTCAATTATTTCCTCATATCCTGACAGAAACGCAGTAAGGTAAAGGTTCCCCTCGCACATATCTGCTAGTCATTCCCAACTCTAGGGGGCGATGCTCATCTCCGTTTCAAAGCCGAAGAGCCAGCGCTGTCCGAAGACGTCTCCGTGGTCATATGGTCAGCATGACTGAACCCCAAAGGTGCACGGAATGTGGTTACCTTCCCACCAAAGGTGGTCCCTATTTTTCTACTTGCATCTTTTACGTACTGCCTAGGTTGGCAGAAGCTGGGACAAGTAACGGGAGCTCACCCCGTTACGCGGCATTGGGGATTTGAACTGCTGAACTGCCAACCTTTCGATCGACAAGCTCAGCATCTTAGCAACTGAGTATGTAGTATGCAGACGTAATTCCATAGTCCCTATCTTTGGTGACTTTGATTCAATCCTGAATCAACATAACAACAGTATTCTAGCATCTAAGGGGCTGCCACAAAGAAGAGAAGGTCAACTTATTTTCCAGAAGACAAGATAAGAAACAATAAATGGAAATTAATCAAGGGGAGATCCAACCTAGAATTAAGGAGAAATTTCTTGACAGTGAGAAAAATTAATCAGTGGAACAATGTGCCTTCAGAAGTTGTGGGTCTTCCATGGGAGGCTTTTAAGAAGAGACTGGACATCCATTTGTCTGAAATGGTCTAAGGTCTCCTGTTTGAGCAGGGGGTTGGACTAGAAGACCTCCAAGATCCCTTCCAACTCTGATAATGATGATTGCCCTGTATCATTTACATCTAGAAACCTATAGTATCCAAGAAAGGCATGATAGGAAGCCGATTTCCCAGCTCTGTAGTTCTCCATGCTCTGACTGTTATTGATCTTTTAGATCCCCGTGCAAATTTTCCGAAGTCTTCTGATCAATTGAAGGCTAGCCTAGATTCCCTCCAGAATGTTTCCATTGGTTTATACTTCCCCTTTGAAAAGGGTTAGGATTGGATCTTGCTGAGCAAAGGGAAAATTCAAATTGGTTGCTTGGCAAAACAAATTTGAGTAGATGGTGGAATGAAGCAAACCAAACAGCAGTGATGGAAACAGCTAAGAGGCTAAGAGACACAGGGCTGAAGAGTTCATTTATTTATTTAAGAAAATTGATATGGTCACCCATCTCATTCTCAGTGACTTTGGGACGCTTACAAGGATAAAAATCCAATATAAAAATAATAAAAAAGCAATAACCGCTCCCATCCCCCTGGCAACCGCCATCAAATGAGCCATTTGATGGACTCCATAACACTCTTGTCTCTCCAGATCTGTTGGCAAAACCAGGTCTTCAGGTCTTGCGAAAGAATATCCAAGTAGGGGCCATTTTTATCTCCGCGGGTATGAGCCACCACGAAGAAGGCCCTTCTTGGTTCTACTAAATGAACTTCCTTAAGAGAGGGAACCTGTAGCATTCTCTGGTGGGTCGGGTGACTGGGAAAAGATTGTCCTTCAGATAACCTGGTCCCAAGCCATGTAGGGCTTTGAAGGTGACAATCAGCACTTGGAATTGGATGAAAAGAAGACCTAGCGCAGGGGTGGGTTCTACTTACCTTTACTACCGGTTTGCAATGGGATCGCACATGCACAGTCCCTTCGCCTGCATACGCGCCTTGCTTCTCTGCATGCGCAGATCGCCGATGACGACATCCGGGATGGTGGGCGGGGCCTTCTTGTGAACCAGTCCGAACTGTGGACAACCCAGCACTGGTCTAGGGGTGACATGATAGCAGTGTTCCAATATCTCAGGGGCTGCCACAAAGAAGAGGTAGTCAAACTATTCTCCAAAGCACCTGAGGGCAGGACAAGAAGCAATGGGTGGAAACTAATCAAGGAGAGAAGCAACTTAGAACTTAGGAGAAATTTCCTGACAGTGAGAACAATTAATCAGTGGAACCACTTGCCTCCAGAAGTTATGAATGCTCCAACACAAAATTTTTAAGAAGATGTTGGATAACCATTTGTCTGAAGTGGTTTAGGGTTTCTTGCCTGGGCAGGGGGTTGGACTAGAAGACCTCCAAGGTCCCTTCCAACTCTGTTATTCTATTCAATTCAGCTCCCACAGCAGAGATGACACATGTGCACATCTAGGCCTGCAAAAGATCAGCTCTTTCCAAACCAAGGCACAACCATAGGTGTTAACCAACATGTTGGGCTCACTCTCAGTAGAAGTGACAGAACAAACATCTTTTGGTTTGCTTCATTTACAATTTACTTCAAATTAAATATAGTTAACATGTGACAGCCAACTTGCCACAGCCAATTCGCCAAGAGTTACACTAATATCGAAGAAATAGCGGAATAGAAAGGATTAAAGAAAGGATGCCAAAAGAGGAACAAAATGAAATGTGAATGACAAAAAATGAAAAAAATTCTTTAACTATTTTATGTTATTTTTAATATTTTTTATTGATTTTGCAACAACACAACACAACATACAAAACATCAACACACCATATGTGTGTCTTTCATTCCTCTTACTTTCTACTTTCTACATTCCCCATTTTTCTCATTCTTTATTGTCTTTATCTTTATCGTCCCTTTATTTCTAGTTTTATTCATTTACAACATTTTACAGATTTATCACATCATTTATTCCCTTTTACCTTCCCTAGTCTTTAGCCAATCATACCACTTATTCCATACTTGATAATATTCTGCATCTTCTTTTTCATTTATTTCTTTTGTTAATTTATCCATCTCCGCACAGTCCAGAATTTTCCTAATTGTTTCTTCCTCTATTGGAGTTTTTTCACTTTTCCAGGACTGTGCGTAGACTATCCTTGCCGCTGTAATTATATGCAAAATCAAATATCTAATTTCTTTACTGTAGGTTCTATTCAATATCCCCAGTAAAAACATCTCTGGTTTCAAGTCCACATTATAGCCAATTATCTCTTCTATCCACCTTCTAGTTTTAGCCCAATATTTTTTTGCCTTAGGACATGTCCACCAGAGTTGGTAATATGTTCCGGGGACTAACTATTTTAAATAATTAAACTGAGTTCTTGAATTGCCCCGCAGCGAGTTGTCCTGTGGTGAGTTGGCTGCAGTGAGTTGTCCGAATTCTGTTCCCCAGGGATGTATTTAATATTTCACCCTTCAGTTGCCATGTGGTGAACCTTTTAGAAGTCTCCTAGGGAGAGCATCCAAACATTTGGGCAGCCAAATGTATTTCTAGGGCTTTGGGAATGTACTTCTTCTGTACATCACTCTCTCAATCTCTTCATCAGCATTTTTAACAAACAACCATATGCAGACTTTTCAAAAACTCTGAAATGGTCTTCCTGTTGAGGCCTACTCCATACCCTGTTTCCCCAAAAATAAGACCCAACTGGAAAATAAGTCCTAGCATGATTTTTCAGGATGCTTGTAATATAAGCCCTACGCCCAAAATAAGCCTCAGTTAAGATTGTCAGCCAGATGGATGCATTTTACCAGAAATGTATAATAAAGAATTGAGATATTTAATTGTGAATGTTTTAACAGCAGCTAGAATAGTATTTGCTAAAAATGGGAAAAAAGAGAAAATGCCTACTGATGATGAAGTTATTAAGAAAATTATGGAATGTGCTGAAATGAGTAAATTGACATTGGAAATTAGAGAACAGGAAGACAAACAATACTATTTGATATGGGATTTGTTTTATCAATAGCTAGATAATAAAGCATGGAAATGAAGTATGAAATATGAAATTAAGGTAATGATAAAATATATGAAGTATTTTTTTATGGGAGATAAGCCTTTGTTAAATAATTGCTAAATGAGAATAACAATATAAAGGGATATATAAAATTGTCAAATGAGAGAAATTAAATAATTTGTAATCTTGGATATGGGATTAAGCACAAAAGAATCTTAACCGATCGACACACTTGCTGTGATTGTATTGAATGGTGGTTGTTTTTATGTTTTGTTATGTTTAAAAATTAAAAAAAAATAATAAAAAAAGATTGTCAGGCAGATGGATGCATTTAGTATCGTATTCCCCCCAAAATAAGACTTAACCAGAAAATAAGCCCTAATGCATCTTTTGGAGCAAAAATTAATATAAGACCCAGTCTTATTTTCAGGGAAACACGGTAGTTTTCAAGGAAAAGGTACCTGGTGAGTTTCTTGGTTGAATAAAGACTTGAACCTGCAACTCTATGGTTCCCCATGGCCTTTCTCCTAACACCCTTTGTTTGTGTTTCAGTATGGAAGAGAAGACAGCGACTGGACAATCGTGGTCTCATGAATGTGAGGGATGAGAACATTTCAGCCTTCTGCAAGCACAACCAAGTGTTCTAACTACCACCTGAATGATGACCAGTTTTACTGTAGCTCTGTGTAGAGTAGTCTGTGTATTATCACTTTAATCCTGAGCTGGGGAGTTGGGTCCACATGCCAGGAAATGAAACTTAGGGCTATCATTTCCGGGCTGCAAACATCAAGTTGATCACGAAATAGCAGGGAAAAGCTTCCTTTCCACATCTCTTTGCTGCTACGTTGTGGTCAAACAGATTTTTGCAGGCCCGGGTATGGTAGCCCTAGTGAGCACATTTTTTCTTCTGTGATTTTGGTCTAGACTAGAAATCTGTCTTCTGGTGGAGGTGCTAGATGTCAACAGTAGAGACGCTCCTAACACAACCCTTGGTGTCCCTTATATCCTTGGTACAGTGGACAACTGTGTTTAGAAGTTCTTCAACTGCTCTTCATTGCAAGCCAAATACTCTTGGTCTTACGCGTCACTTTTTAACCAGATTATTACGTGACTATTTTACCAAATAGTCACCAAATAGTCACCTCAATTACCAAATGATTGAGAGTAAACTTTTCACCATCTCCTTTCTCGTCTGCAACCTTAGAAAATGAAAGGTTTAATTTTCGTAAGACAGGTAGATATAGTAAATGCAGTAAATATTTCGCCATCTCTTGATTTTTCCATCTTTAGGACAATTGTTCTAATTTACAGGACTTCAAAGAATCCCAGTTTTTGATCACCGACTAGAATCACATCTCACAGATGATAATTCTCAAATTGGGGAACTGATTTCTCTGATGTCTAGAGGAATTTTTTTCCCTCTCATTAGTAAGTGACTTCTACCATTGCCAAACTATGGAAAATTTCTGTAAAGTAAGTTGTTTGAATACAGAATACATTGGTTGATGGCATAGCCATCCATAACATTTTAAATAAGGCAGGTTTTAGAGATTTGCCAGATATCAGATTATGGCCCAATCCACCATGCTTGAAATCCTTTAGAAAGAAAAGTTCTTTGTGGCTTCTACCATCCTTCAATTGTCTCAGCTTTTCTTGGAGACATTGACTTTAAAATCTCACCCTTCCCTCCACGCAGTCTTGAAATCACAACACCACAATGATCAGATGTATTAGAAAAGATTCCTGATTCTCTGAATAAGCTTTAATAATCTACTGTATCAAATTAGATTAAACGAGATGTTACTGAAGTAGCTTGAGATATGGGAAGGCCTCTAAATCAACCCTAAACTTACAAGATCTACTTTGATCTTCCTTTTCTTTTTCCTTTTGTTTCCACTAGACTCCCACAAGATCCACAAAACTAGATCAAATTATAAAATAATTGTCTGGAGCAATAGTTCTCAACCTTTTCTTTACCAAGGGCTCCCTTTAAATACCTTTTGTGGCCATGGACCATAGCCATGAACCCCCAAGACTTAACTCAAGATTTAAATCATAACATTTTTTTCATTCGTGGACCCCCCCCCCATGACATCCTGACCTCCCCCCAGAGGTCTACAGACCACAGGTTGAGAATCATTGGTCTGGAGGAAGCAAACCACTCTGAAACATATTGCTTTGGTTAATTTTAAAATTTCCCTTTTCTGAATATTATGGTCATCTACTAAAGACAGTTTTGAGGTCTTGGCTTAGTGCCTTTTGAGTCTGAGCTTGAAGGCATCTGAGCTTTAAGACATCTCTTGCCAAAGAAGTTACATACAAAAGTGTTCGGCACATACTCACATTTCTTGGACCAAATATTTCTTGAGTTAACTGGCAAGATAATCAAGGCACTGGGCTTTCTTTTTGCTAGGACACTCACAGGGACTAATAAAGTTCACACACACCCCTCATAAAGAGAGAAGGTCATGATTTGGGAAAATTCTAACTCTGCTTCTTGCACCTTGAACCTACCTCTACTTAGTGATTGATGAAGGCTGAGACTATACCCAACTTTTGTTCCCCTGTGACCTCATAGGCACCTAAAATTTTTAGGGGAAAGGATGTGACAAGACTTTACCAACTCAAGATGCAGGTCATAGTAGTGAGGAGATGATTTTGCACGCATTCCACACAGTTGTCTGGCTGTGACCACAAGGAGAAGGCCTGTTGTAGCCTACTTCCTTATGCATACGCAAAAGCATTTTAATACCCAAGGGTATTCGTTCACTCTCATCATGTCCCACCATGTGCCAAAATAAGTAGACACGTTCAACAGCATCATGTCATATGTTCTTTCTAGAACATTTTAAGTGGATCTTAAAATCTGCTAATATGGATTCTTTACATTTTGATCCAATGCTCTTTAGTTATAATATCCCATGTTGCGGTAACGTTTCCCAGAACCACCTTAGCGCAAAGCAAAACTTTCTGTATTGTATGACTTCACGGTGCGTTAATCAGCAAAGGCCTTCCAGAAAGATTTCATACCCTTAAAACGTTATCCTTTTATTGAAGACCAGTTGAAGCTGATGATGCTGGATGGAGTTCTGTTTAGAACAGTTTTCTCCAGGGTGGTTCTTCCAGGTGGGCTGAGATTCCCAGTCCAAGGTTTCTCAACCAATAGGAATTCTCAGAATTGGAGTTCCTACAATTCAAGGCCACCAGGATGGGGTAAGGATGGTCTAAGAACAGATTACTACTTCTCTACCTGGGGGCTTGAAGATGTGTAGACTTCAACTCCAGTATTCCCCAGCCAACTATGCTGACTGTAGAATTCTGGGAGTTGGAAGTCTACACATCTTAAAGTTGCCCAGATTGAGGAGCATTGAAATAGACACAATAAGCACAAGCTGTTTCCCAATGATGGTAGATGTAACACCCTCCGTATCTTCTTCTTGCCAGTTGAATTTGTATTGTGCTGCTACCCTTGTTGGGTTCTGTTCCAGTTACTGCTAGCTATCATTGGTGATGTGCAGAGTTTTGCTTTCCTTTTCTTTTGTCTATTGTTGGCCACATTGCTAATTGGGAGGCTCACAGTTCTGATCTTGAGTAAAAAGCTACTACTGGAGCAGGACCATCGTAATAGAAGAGTGCCTTTTGACGAAGAGTGTGTGTCCACGTTGAGAGTTTGACTTGCTGAGACCAAAACTATGTATGTTTGGCTGAGACAGGATTTGAAAAGACTGGTTGCTTCTGTTTCCCTGTCAAGAGGATAACCAGGGGGATCTAGGACAACTCGCAGTGACTAATGCCATGGTCATCTCGTTTGTGGCCAACCTGGCATGGCCATCTCACCACGGAACACCCACTATGGCCAACTTGCTGCGGAATAACTCACCGCGGGACAATCCATGTGGGATAACTCAATGTGATAAATGTTATCTGCCACTGTTTCTTTGACATGATTTCCATTTTTGTCAATGAGAATAGTGCTGAAGAAAAAGTTGTCCCATGGTGAGTTGGCCATGGTGAATTGTCCAGGGGTGCTATTCAGCAGGTTCTGACAGATTCTGGAGAACCGATAGTGGAAATTTTGAGTAGTTCGGAGAACTGGCAAATACCACCTCGGGCTGGCCCCAGAGTGGGGTGGGAATGGAGATTTTGCAATATCCTTCCCCTGGAGTGGGGTGGGAATGGAGATTTTGCAATATCCTTCCCCTGGAGTGGGGAGGGAATGGAGATTTTGCAGTATCCTTCCCCTGCTATACCCACCAAACCACACAATGCCCACCAAGCCATGCCCACAGAACCGGTAGTAAAAAAAAAAATTGAATTTCACCACTGGAATAGTCCCATAGCGAGACAATGCTGCATGGTGAGATGGCCATGGCAAGATGGCGGCAGTGAGATGGCTGCAGCGAGTTGGCCATGGTAAGATGACCATGGCAAATTGGCTGTGGTGAGTTGTCCTTAAGCAGGAAGGTGAGCACTTAACTCCCATCCACCCCCATTTCCTTCCTGCAATTTTCCTCCCCTAGTTACTTGCCGCGTCAAGTGAGTAAACCAGATGGAAAGAAGGGGGATTCCAAGAAAAAGGAGCAAACAGGAAAATAACTGGTTTTGTTTTTCTCCTCCGTTGGGGTGTATCTCTTAACTGCAGTCGGGGGTTGGGTTCCCAGGTCATCCTTGCATGTGCCACTGAGCATACAGCCCTCAACAAGATGTATTTTCTTTAGCAACTCTGTCTGCTTAAAGATTCTCCCTTGACAAGGACACGAAAGGAAATGTTCTTCCTGCTTAGGGTGTGATGGCGTTCACCATTCCTGAAAACCACTTGAAGTGTTCTTAAACACTTTGTGATGGCAGAGTGGTTAGAATGCAGTACTGCAGGCTACTTCTGCTGCCTGCCGGCTGCCGGCAATTTGACAGTTCGAATCTCACCAGACTCAAGGTTGGACTCAGCCTTCCATCCTTCGGACGTCAGTAAAATGAGGACCCAGATTGTTGGGGACAATATGCTGACTCTGTAAACCGCTTAGAGAGGGCTGTAAACCACTGCGAATCGGTATATAAGTCTAAGTGCTATTGCTATTGCTACTTGTCTCCGGGGAGTGCCTGTTTGCAAATTGACCTGTCATTCAAATGGGATCTATGACAATTTGCCATATCGAACTCGCCATGGCCAACTTTTTGCAGGAGAACTTGCCTTAGGACAAGGGTTACACTAAGATCAAGAAATGGTGGAAAAGAATCGTGAAAGGAAGGATGCAAAAGGAGGCACAAAGTGAAACGCGAATGACAAAAATTAAAATCTTTTTAAAATTTATTTTAAATAATTCAATTGAATTGTTCGATTGTCCCGCGGCGAATTATTGTCGTGGGGCAAGTTGTCCGACAGCAAGTTGGCGGCGGTGAGATGGCCGCGACGAGTTGGCCACAGTGAGTTGTCCCATTCCGGTGTCAATGTTCCTTGTCTCAAAGGTGGTTTTTCAAAAGGCAACGGGATGGTTTTTTTTTTTTTCTTGAGGAGGAAGAAGAAAACGTTCGCTTCTCATCCAAGAAGCTTCATCCGTTCTGAATGTGATGAAGCTTCTTGGATGAGAAGCGAAACATTTTCTTCTTCTTTTTTTTTGAAAAAAGTTTTTAATTTTTATTTTTCATCAACATGTTTAAATCTACAGTCTTTTATCCATCCTTATCCATTGTTCGTTCATCTTCTTCTTCAACTTCCATTAGGTAATTAATTAATTATTTGTTCGGGTCTGCTCTTTTACCATTTCCTTCTTTTGTTTTACTACAGCCTTTCCTTTTTCCCTTCCCTTCTTTTTCCTTCTTTCTTTCTTCTTTCCTCATTCCTCCTCTCCTTTCCTTTCCTACTTCCTTTCCTCTTTCCCCTCTCCTCTCTTCTTCCTCCCCTTCTTACCCTCTCTCCTGCTCTTCTTTCCCCTTCCTTCTTCCTCTCCTTTTCCCATTCTTCTTTTCTCTTCTTCTCATCTCCCAACTCCCCTACTTTCCCCTCTCTACTCCTCCCCTCTTTTCCATTCCTTTGTTGTTTCCTTTTTTAATTCAATCTGAGATGGTATTCGAGCAGACCCGATTTCTATTTACATACGTCTTCATTTCCAATTTCATTTTTTACTTTACTATTATTCCTCTAGTATTCCTGTACATTTTTTAATCAATCCATGTATCATCTGAGTATAACATTTGTGCTATCATCTTCAAAATTTACCATTATTTCTTAAAATATATATTTATCTTTCCTTCTTTCATTTAATTTTAATATACTACAACATATTCATCTCAAAGTTCTTGTCTTTATCCTGTTTATTATCTATACTCACTTTCTAACATTTTCTTCTTATTCCTCGAGAAAAAAAAAACATCCAGTTCAGTGGTGGATTGCTACAGGTTCGTCCCGGATCGGAGCAAACCGGTAGCAAACTAAATTGAAATCCACTACTGATCCAGTTGCCTTTTGAAAAAGCACCATTGAGACAACTATGACTGAGAACCTCCATCCTTGGGTGACTGAGAACCTCCATCTACGAATGTTCCCTGTCTTCTCAGTATTGGATTTGGGGAATTGCAACCTGCAGGAAGCAAAAATGAAACACTCGGAATCCTAGGAATGTTCTCCCTTTCTCTCTCTTCCCCAACAAAGCATTCAGCTCACACAAAATGTTCAAACCCACTAATGGCCCACTTGCAATGGGATAATTTCTAATTCAAAGCATTTTGTGTATCTCTTGTTGCAAACATGCATGGTTTACCTCTGTTGCTCCGTGGCCATAGAGCTTAAAATGGAATGTACTGTTGTGTCCTTGAGACCCTCTACAAAAATGGATCCACCCTAAATGAGGTGTGTTTTGTTTGTCTTTCAGCCTGTAATTGCTAAAGGGGCTGGTTTTTAAAAGGTCTTTTCTTAAATGTACAGGAAGTTACTCAGACCAGCAAGGGTATTTTGATATTGCGTGACAATCCAATGAAAAAAATAAAATTAAAAAGTAGACCTTTGTTGTCATCTTTGTTTTCAATCTTTGCAAAAAAAAAAAAAAAAGTTTGCGCCAGCCAGAAAAAGAGCTCACGGGAGTGTCGTTAAGTGAAGTAACTTGCACTCATCTGCATTTAAAAACCAGCAATAAATTTCAGAGGCAAATCTCTTACAAGGCTTTCAAGATTTTAAAGAGATGAAATAGGTGCTTAAATTCCTTCAAACTTTCACAATGCAAATAGACTCTTTTTGTACCGGCTCTGCTCAGATATTTTTGGACCCCTAAGTATTTTTCAGACCCTTTAGCTATTTTTAATGAAAAATGGAATAGAAAATAGAAAAAGAATCTAAAAATTCTGCTGTACAATCAGAAGAAAGTAACTTTGAGTTGAGGAGAGCTCACTCCCGAGTATTGCTGTAATTCTCTATTAAATGTATTATGGAATTTTATTAGTGAGTTTATTTGCTTGAGATGTTTGTGTTCCATGATGAAATTATTACTCAAGTGATTACTTTCTTTGTTTAAACAATAAAGTTACAAATCATGCATAAAATAGTTTTATAGTAATAACATCAAATATAACTAATACATCTTTGTAATTATAAATGGAAAATCAGATTATAATTAATTGTATTTCCCATCTTTCTCTTAACAAGAGTGCTTAGTATGAGAAAAATACAGTGAAAACAAAGGACAACAATAAGGGATTTGTTAATATATATATATATGTAAAAAAGCTGCTTTCTCTATTAAAATATTTTTCAGCTAAGAAGTAGCAAATCAGTTAGTCCTCTGAATGGAATGAAAGGTAATAAAAGGACTCAAAAAATTAAACTAACATGGCCTTTTGGAGAGAAGGTTTTAGAATTTGGGAATAATCACTGAAAAAGCTGTTGTGCTCCTATCAAAGATGCTTCTTAGGGTGATGGGACACATACAGTATTTTAAAACCTGGAAAGACTCATGAATGAACGAGATGTTTCAAGTAAGGCTTTATCAGTGCCATCATTTGAATCCGCCTAGTAGCGGGTAGATTTTATTTATTTATTAAATTTATTTGCTGTCCATCTCACTCTGGAAAGCAACTCTATATAAAACCAATAAATACAGAGACAAGGAGTAAAAGTCAAGGTCAGTGTGCAGCTTTGTTATTTGTTCCCTAGGATAATATGCTTCCTTCATTTATAGGCATCAACCAATATCATAAGGGGATGCAGTGGCTCAGTGGCTACGACACTGAGCTTGTTGATCGGAAGGTCGGCAGTTCAGTGGTTCGAATCCCTAATGCTGCGTAACAGGGTGAGCTCCCGTTACTTGTCCCAGCTTCTGCCAATATAGCAGTTTGAAAGCATGTAAAAATGCAAGTAGAAAAATAGAGACCACCTTTGGTGGGAAGGTAACAGCGTTCCGTGCGCCTTTGGCATTTAGTCATGCCGGCCACATGACCACGGAGACATCTTTGGATAGCGCTGCTCTTCGGCTTTGAAACAGAAATGAGCACCGCCCCCTAGAGTCAGGAATGACTCGCACATATGTGCGAGGGGAACCTTTACCTTTACCTTACCAATATCATTGCTACAGAAAATACTTTCAAAACTGGTCTAGTTTGGCTGACATATATTGTCTTCAGCTCGTCAGTAACTTCCCAGTTCTGTCCATATTCCATTCCTACTCCAGATTAGATTTTGGAGAATGCACAGTGATATGGAAATACTATATCAACTAACCAATTTTCTACTTTATCAGTTCTCATTCAGTTTGATGAAAGACAAAAAGTATTTTTCCATTCTTGTTTTTCCCCTAAAGGAGAACATAATTTTGATAATGTTCTGGTTGGTTGAATAGCGTAATTGTACTTGTCTAGTTATGTAGGTAGTCAAGGGCTATGTGTGAGAGTTCGGGAATGTCCTCTTTTGCTATATATTTATTGCTACACTGGCATTCATTTTCCTCAGCTTCCCATGCATCCATTCCTATTCTAAGATATAGGACAATCTTCCTGTGGATTTTTTTGTGGATTAGGAAATTAAGGCAGACAGAAAGGTTTTAGAGTTTTGGGAGATGAATAATAATTATAATCCTTGAAACAATATACTGGATATAGCTGGAACAGCAAAGTGTACAATAGGCCAGAACACACAGTTGTAGTTGATTGGTTAGAGAGTGCTGACTCATGCATGAGGCAATCTACGCTGTGATTGGTTGACATAAAGGGGGAGTTTCTCTTTTTTCCCGCCTTTTTTCTTCTGTGTGTTCTGTATACTATTCAATTTTACCTCATGATATTCTTATGTTCCTGACTATTTTGTGTTCTTCCATTCTTTCTGGATGATGACAAAGACTGCTATAAGTTTAAATCAGGGGTGAAATGCTCCCGGTTCAGACCAGATTGCCCAATCCGTTAGCGATGGAAGTGGGTGGTTTGGAGAACCAGTAGCAAAAATCCCTGCTCCCCCCCCCCCCCCCATGCCCAGCTGAGCCACGCGATCATCAGAGGCTTTTTTTTTTACTTTTAAAAGCATTTTTTCTTCGGCCGAAAAAATGCTTTTAAAAGTAAAAAAAAAAGCCTCTGATGATTGCGTGGCTCAGGTGGGATTATCAGAGCCTTTTAAAAGCATTTTTTCTACAACCTCTTCAGCCGAAGTGGTTGTAGAAAAAATGCTTTTAAAAGGCTCTCACGATCCCAGCTGAGTTGCCTGATCGTCAGAGGCTTTTTTTTCTTTTAAAAGCAAAAAAAAAAAAAAAATGCTTCGGCCGAAGAGGTTGTAGAAAAAATGCTTTTAAAAGTTAAAAAAAAAAAAAAAGTTGGCCACGCCCACCCAGTCACATTACCCCACCACCACCAAGCCACGCCCACAGAACCGGTAGTAACAAATTTTACATTTCACCACTGGTTTAAATGTTAAATATATTTACAGGTAGTGAAACAACGGCACTGAAAAAAGTGATTTATGATCATTTTTCACACTTATAACCTTTGTAGCATCCCCATGCTCATGTGATCAACATTCAGATTAATATTATGACAAGAAAACACTGTTATTATATGACCACTACTAATGAACATTATTACTATTACGATGATGACCATCACTCAAACTAATGGTAACCAGACAACACACTGTTTATATAGACATTGAAACTGTTGCTCTTTCTTTATATAGCAAAAATTTTTAAAAAATATTTTTTTAAAAAATCAGATGCCTGGCAACTGGTTCATACTTATGACCGTTGCTGTGTCCCAAAGTCATGTAGCCTCCCTTGATATCCCTTTTGCAACCTTTTGGCAAGCAAAATCAATGGGGAAAGCCAGATTCACTTAACAGCTGGGTTACTAACTTATCAACTGGAGTGATTCACTTAATAACTATGGCAAGAAAGGTCGTAAAATGGGGCAAGACTCGCTTAACAAATATCTCACTTAACGACAGAAATTTTGGGCTCAATTGTGGTAAGACAAGGACGACCTGTATATCAAAGACTACAAGTTTGTGTCAGTGTCTCTGACTTCAGCTGAACAGCTGCTATGCAATTCCTTGACATTTAATATGAGGGAGAAATCAGAGTATGTCACAAACTCCTTGCAATAACAATGGTCTTGCTACTACAGAAGCTAAGCTCCCTTGAATGAATGCCACGGCCTCAGCAAAGGAAGCTGCCCTATCGCTATCTTCTGACAGACAGCAATTCTGCACGGATTTAAGCGAACATCTATTCCAGCCTCCCAACAATTTGATATCCCTTCATCTAGAGTGCCCAAATATCAAACATGGACACTTCTTGCTGCATGCAACCCAGGAAGGATGCAGGAGGACTCAGTTCTGAAATTTGATGGCAATGCCATAGCACCTGTAGGAAGATGACCAAGCTGAGTACAAGGGCAGAATCAAACACATCATTAGTTTGTAGTCTCTACGCCTCCCTAAGAGACCTAAATCCAGCCACCACCATCCCAAAATCCATTGACTCTTATCTGATGTCAATTCGCCTTGATCTTTCATAGTTTAAATTCTTGTGTATAGGGTAGCATGAAATAAACATGTAGTACTTTTAAGGAGCTGTGGTGGTGCAGTGGTTAGGATGCAATATTGCAAGCTAACGCTGCTCACTGCCAGGAGTTTGATCCCATTCAAGATTGACTCAGCCTTTCATCCTTCCGAGGTCAATACAATGAGGATCCAGATTGTTGGGGGCAATATGCTGACTCTGTAAACTGCTTAGAGAGGGATGCAAAGCATTATGCCCTTGTTACCTCACGGTTGGACTATTGCAACGCGCTCTACATGGGGCTACTCTTGAAAAGTGTTCGGAGACTACAGTTGGTCCAGAATGCAGCTGCACGAGTTATAGTGAGTGCACCTAGATACACCCACATTACACCAATTCTCCGCGAGCTGCACTGGCTCCCTATCGGTCTCCGGGCGCAATTCAAGGTGTTGGTTATTACCTTTAAAGCCCTACATGGCTTAGGACCAGGCTATCTTCGAGACCACCTTCTACCACATAGCTCCCAGCAACCGGTAAGATCCCACAGAGTCAGTCTCCTCTGGGTCCTGTCAGCTAAACAATGTCGGCTGGCAGGCCCGCGGGGGAGAACCTTCTCTGTGGCTGCCCCGGCTCTCTGGAACCAATTACCTCCTGAAGTCCGGACCGCCCCCACCCTATTGGCCTTCCGGAAAGCGGTGAAGACCTGGCTCTTCCGGCAGGCCTGGGGCCGTTGATCTCGTTATAGTGATCTTGCAAGACCCGGCCACAAATTGGAGTGTATGTGTTTTAACGTTTTAATGTTTTAATGTCTTCTTTTAACTTTTATATGGGATATTGTTGCATTGTTTTATTCTCTGTTGTAAGCCGCCCAGAGTCCCTTGGGAGTTGGGCGGCATAGAAATGCGACTAAATAAATAAATAAATAAATAAATAAATAAATAAATAAATAAATAATGAAGTGGTATGTAAGTCTAAGTCAGGGGTCAGCAACCTGTGGCTCTGAAGCCACATGTGGCTCTTTCATCCCTCTGCCGTGGTTCCTTGTCACCGGTCAGCTCCACAATTGATAGGGCTTAGGGTTAGGACAGGTAGAGGAAAAAGGATGACACGCTAGGAGGAGATTCTGTGGTGGGGGAACCGGACTTCTGGTCAGCTCCAGAATTGAAGGGGGGGCTTCCGGTTAGGACCTTTGTGGCTCTTTGAGTGTTTAAGGTTGTGGACCCTTGGTCTAAGTGCAATTGTGATTTGAACTCTATCCTGGTTGCTGACTTCTTGCACCTACCTGGCAGCACCTCTGCATCAAATCAACTGTTGAAAGCCTGCAAAATCCTCCTCTTCTTTGGCTCCCAAATCAAAAGGACAGTCCGATTTGAAAGTCGGAAAATCTGTACCAAATTGATTTCTCAGAATCAATTGAATTATTCAAATTAAATCAAGGCTGATTATTCACTGTTTTAGGAAG